CCGCCAGCGGTGTGGGCTGCTGGTTTGCTTTGATGTTGGTGTCTGAATTGTTCTGCAGGCCATAATTGGCCACCAACAGCCCGTTTGTTTGCACGACAACGGGCGCCTGGAAGGCTCCAGTTTGATTTTGCAGGCTGATGGTCTGGCTCGTGGCTTGAAGCTGCACCTCGCTTCCGCTTTCCAGGGCCCTCAGGCTGCCGTCAGCCCCTGAACCGTTCTGTACGCGGATTGCCGCTTCCCCAGTGGTCGCATCTTCGTTGAGGACCTTGAATTCCACGTCCCCAACTACGTTTTGCCGCACCTGAGCAAGGCTGCAGACCTGCTCTATTCCCGTCGTGCCGCCAACAAAGGTGAGCCAGGCGGGCGCTGACACCAAACCGGGATCTGCTTGAATAGTGGACGCGGTGAAAACGGTGCCGTCCAGGTACATGCCCGTGGTGCCGCCGCGAATCGTCAGAAAGGTGTCCGAGGGTCTGGCCCGCACCGTCGGAGCCCGAAGCTCTGTGTTGAGCTCAATGCTGGCTCCGGTCATGGTTCCCTGTATATCCAAGTCGCCGTTCACCACGGTTCCGTTGGACCCGCCGGTGATGGACAATTGCGTGTCTTGAGCCCGCACTGAGATGGCGTTGGTCACGAGGCCCGTAGCAGTGCCGATGGCGTCGTCGATGTACAGCTGGTCGTCCACGCGGAGCCTGGTTGCCACAGTGTGGACTTCAGCAGGGGCGAAGGTGCACAGGCTGTTGTCGCTGGCATCCGTGACGCGCACAGAAACGGTGCCCGCCTTGAGGTTCAGGAACTGGTCCGTGGGCAACAGAGGCTCCACGGTGCCTCCCTGGAAGGAGCCGGCGGTGGCGATGCCCAGGCTCGAGTCTGCAAAAATTCGACCCTTGGTGAGCACGTTGATGCCATCTTTGATGCTGAACAGGCTCGTGGACAGGTCTGCCATGGCGAGTCCGTTGCTGGCCTCGAACTCGATGCCCAGGGCGCCGCCGCGCAGCGTCAAATAATCGGCACCGTTGGCGCGGACGTCGTTGACCAGGAGCGGGTCGCTGGGGGGTCCCCCGATTTGAATGTACCGCGCATCGCTCTCGGCCTTGCTGTAGCAGTCGACTTCCATCTCGAGCGAGCGGCCGTTCGCGCCGAAGGGGGTCACGATGAGGGGAGCCCTGGGCAGGATGGACCGAACGATCCTGGGCGTGAAGGCATCGAGCATCAGCGAGAACGCTCCGCCTCCGTCGGATGCCGCGTTCGTCGGGAAGTACCTACTGTCACTCTCGCTCTTGGAGTAGCAGTCGACCTCCATCTCCAGCGTGCGGCCGTTCGCGCCGACCACGGTGACCTGGAGGGGAGCCCGGGGCAGGATCGACCGGATCATCCTGGGGGTCAGGGTGTCGAGCATCAGCGAGAAGGCCCCGCCCCCGTCCTGTGCCGCGTTCGTCGGAAAGTACCTGCCGTCGCTTTCGCTCTTGGAGTAGCAATCCACCTGAATCTCCAGCGTGCGGCCGTTCGTAAAGAGTGGGGTCACTATCACGGGCGCCCGCGGCAGGATCGCCCGCATCATCCTCGGGGTGAAGATGTCGAGCATCAGCGAGAAGGCGCCGCCCCCGTCGGGTGCAGCATTCGTGGGAAAGTACCTCGCGTCCGCCTGGGCTTGCGTCTGGAAGCCCGAAGAACTCAGTTGGCTTGCTATCTCCGCGGAGACCTCTCCCTGGTCCCAGTAGGGCTGCAGGGCGGTGCTGATGCTGCTGTCCACTTCGGTCTGGGTGACGTACTGGCTCAGGTTTAGCGCGTCGATGGCGTTGGTGATTTGCGTGTTGGTCTCGGCCTGGGTGTAGGTCTGGGCCGTGGAATAGCACTGGCAGTCGATCTCCAGCGTGTCCGTGTTGTTCTGAAGGCTGGCCACCAGGGGTCCGCTGAAGTGCAAGTTCCGGAGCACGTTGGTGCCCTTGAGCAGCTCCCAGGTCGGCGGGTTGGCCACCCAGGCTGGGGCATTGCTCAGAGTCACGGGGACCAAAGCCGCGGCTATCGCAGCGTCCGTTTGCGCTGCCGTGTAGTAGCCGCTCAGGTCGATGCCCGCCACCGCGCAGCTATTGCAGCATCGGTTTGAGTGGAATCATAGTAAGGGACCAAGGCAGCCGCGATTGCAGTGTCCACCTCCGTGGAAGTGTAGTACGCTGTCAAGGCAGTTGCGATGGGCGCGTCTCTTGCCACAATCGTGCTGTACGGGGTAAGGGCGGATGCTATGGCGGCATCCGTAGCCGCAGAGTCGTAGTAGGTTGACAATGCGGATGCGATGGCTGCGTCCCGGGCCACAATCGTGCTATATGGAACAATCGCTGCTGCGATGGCGGCGTCCGTGGCCGTGGAGTCGTAGTAGCTCAACAACGCTGCGGCAATTGCGGCGTCTCGGGCTACAATCGTGCTGTAAGGGACGAGGGCTGCTGTGATGGCGGCGTCCGTTTCGGCCGAGGTGTAGTAGGCCGCCAGGGCCGCTGCAATTGCAGCGTCCATCTGCACGGTCGTGCTGTACGGGACGAGGGCCGCGGCCAGGTTGGTGTCGGACTCCACCTTGGAATAAGAGTCGCAGGCCAGGGACAGCGTGAAGCTGTCGTTCTGCAGGCTCGCCGACAGGGGCGCGGTGACGTGCAGGTTCCGCAGCGTGTTGGTGCCCACCAGAAGGTCCCAGGTAGTCTCGCCCGGCCACGCCTGCGCGTTGATGAGGTTGTTCCCGCCCCCGCTGCTCAGGATGGCCAGCTGGGCCAGGATGGCGTCGATGGCGCTCTGGAGGCTCGTCTCCGCGGCGGTGAGGTCCGCGGAAGTGGCGTAATTGGCGAGGTCGCCCGTGGTGGCGTAGCCCACGAGGGCCGTGGCGATGGCGCTGGAGACTTCGGCCGCCGTCTGGTAGCCCGCCGCCTGCAGCACGGCGATGGCCGCCTCGGCCGCGTCCAGCCTCCCGTCCCTGAGCGCCAGGGCCGCGTCCAGGGCCGCCTGCGTCACCAGGGGCAGCAGCGCTGTGGCTATCTTCTGGTCCACGTCCGCCGGGGTGGTCCTCAAGGCCACGGCCGCGTTCAGGCCACTGGTGTCGGTGTACGACAGCAAGGCTGTGGCGATCTTCTGATCCACATCTGCTGCAGTCTGGCGGGCCGCGACGTCGATGGTGAGTTGGTCCGTAACGGTTTTAAGTCCGTAGGTTGCAGCCACGGAAGCCAATACAGCATTGTCGGCACTTGCAATGGCCGAGTTCATGGCAGCGGTTGTGGGGTGGTTGGCTAGCTTCAGGTCCACCGAGGCCGGCGTGCTCTTGCCGTCTACCTCCAGCTGCAGGGTGTCCAGGGCCGATTGGTTCGCCTTCCCAGCCAAGCCTGTTGTCAGGCTGGTGTTCAAGGCGGTGATTGAGGATTGGTTGGCCGCTATGGAGCCCTCCGCAGCCGCGAGGTCAGCGGCCAGGGCGTAGGGAGCCAGATCCGGCGCCGCGGGCAGGCCGGCCACCTGCGCCTGCAGGGCGGCCACCGCGGCGGAGTTGGTGCCTATGCTCGCGGTGTTGGTCGCCGTATCGGTGAGGGGCGAGTAGGCGGTCAAAACCGTCGCAAGTTGCCCTGCGGTGATGCCCGAGGTTTCGGTCGTTTGGCCGTCATTGAGGATGTTTCCGGTGATGGAGCTTTCGAAAAGGGACATGGCTTTCTAGCAGCCGCGCCCCCACCTCAGTCGAGGACCGACACGCCCGCGCCCGAGAGCGTCACGACTTGATACGAGAGCAGGTGCAGGTAGATGCGGTCCACCTGATCCGCGATGAGGTTCTTGAAGGAGAAGCGAGCCAGGTCGCCCGAGCGTGTGGAGATGCCGCTGAGGGGCATGCCCGGCACCCGCTCCGTCGGAAAGGCTGCGATGAACTCGCGGAAACGGTAAGTGGGCATGGTGATTCTCATGTTCTTCAGACTCGAGTCGTAGGTGTGCGCCAGGATTGAGAGGAAGTGGAAGTGCTCTGCGGTCGAGGACATAGGGTTATGGGGGTATTGAAGCGAGCCAAGCTGCATCTGGCTCTCCATGATGCCCTCCGTGCCCGCCGTCTGGCTCGGGTTGCGCAGGTCACGCACCGGGCCCTCGTCGCTGGTGCTCGAGTTGTAGAAGGTGACAAAAGCCCCGAGTAATTTTGTAAATGCCCGGGCTACGGTCGCATTGTGACTCGTCGCTGCCGCCGGAATCGAGGAGACCTGGGTGTGTAGGCTCGGGAAGGAGAAGACGAGAGACCTTCCGGACATCATCACTCGCCTGAACGACTCCACCAGCGCCGAGTCCAGCGTGACCTGCGAAGCGAGGACCCTCACGTTTTGGATCTCGTAGTCCTCGGACCCGTTGTCTCCCGGCCGCACGGCCTCCGCGGGCGGCGCAAACTCTACTTCTAACGTAAGATTGAGTTCGGGCGGTAGCATTTTGCCCGCCTTGAAGAGACCGAGCAGGTTGGGCGCCATGAGCACGTCCCGGTACCGAGTCGCCGCGATCGATTCGGGCCGCGTGAAGGCATCGTTCCCCTGCGGGAAGCCCTCCACGCCGCGGTTGTCCCACCACTCCTTGGGCTTTAGGCAGCTGTACAGCTGCATGCAGCGGCCGTACTCGCTCACGTCTTCCACTCTCTGTCCGTTGGCGAAGAGCTGCACCCTCTTCACGAAGCAGGCCGGATCCACCAGGGCCGGTTGCAGCGCCAGGGACGCGTCGTTGTTTTGGACTCTGAAGGCGATCTTGACGGAGTCAGGATCAAGAAAATCTGAGCCGCTGGTGAGCGGGATGCGAGCTACCCTGGACGTCGTGGGGGTGAAGGTGCTCAGGGAGCTCGGGTAGTACATCACGTCCTTCCGCGCCACCACGTAGGAGGCGTTGGAAGTGCGCATCTTGTAGTCCAGCGAGCTGATGAGCTCATCGTTGACCGCGTTCGACACCACTTCCATCTTCTTTCGCTTGTGCGCTTTCCTAGTATGTACGCGCGCGGCGCTTCGCTCGTCCGACTAGACCGCCTCGGGCTCCCGGCTCAGGGCCTCCCGCCGTAGCTCGTTGAAGGAGGGCTCCGCCGCTGCCCTGGGCTGCCGGCGCCGCACCGGCCCGTAGCTTTCCGACTCGCTGCTGGAGACGACCTGATTGAGGCCGAACGGCGTGCGCAGCGGGGGCGCGGGCCTGCTCTGCACCTGCGGCCTCGGCTGCTCCCTCTGCTGTGCTAGGGGCGCGTCGTCGTCGGAGCTGATGCTCACCACCGTGGGTTGCCGGACCCTCGGCTGTCGCACGGAGAAGCGCTCCTGCGGCGCTCCCTGCTGCATGTTGTTGATGGTCCTTATGTCCGCGGACTCGCTGCCCGAGCTCGCGGGCGCTGCGTCCCCGCCGTTGCCTCCCAACAGCCACCTGCCTCCCTCGTACAGGCCCAGGGCCACGCCTCCCGCCAGGGCCGCCGCGCCGCCCGTGGCCACGCCCGCCGCCAGACCGAGGCCTTCCGCAACGGGGAAGCCCACGGCCGCTGCCGTTCCCGCTCCTTCCGCCGCGACCCCTCCGAAGGCCGCCAACCCTCCCAGCAAGCCTCCTCCTCCTTCTGCTGCCGCTGCAGCGGCCGCCGTCTGCGTGCCTATCTCCGCGGACTCCGCCAGCAGGGGCACGAGCTCCCCGCCCTCCGCGGCCGCCTGCTCCGCGGCAAACTGCTCGATGTCCTGGGCCGCGGCGCGCTCCACGTCCTGCGCCCGCTGGCCCGCCCTCACGATGAGCTCCTCCGCTTCCGAGGGCCTGCCCACTATCTGCGGACTCGGCCCGGCCCGCGGGGGTAAAAAGCGGCGCTCCAAAACGTCCGCCGCCCTCACGGCGTTGCGGTGCGCGAAGCGGTCCGCGGCCGCTGCCAGGCCGGCAGCGCCGCCCGCGATGACGGTCTCCGCGCCCTGCAGGCCCGCCTCGCCCAGCCTGCCCGAGACGCTGCTGGAAGCCGTCGGAGGCGGCCTCGGGGCTGCGTCGAAGCCGTTGCGCCGGAAGGCCTCGTCCTCCGTGTCGGTGTCCTGTCCTGGGCCCAGGAACGAGGGCCGGCGGATCTGGGGGAACGGCCTGCCTCGGTAGCCGTCCTCGTCCGCGCTGTAGAAGTTTTCCACCGCGCTGCCCAGGTCCGTGTGCGGGCGCGGGTTCTCCACCAGCGGCTCCGTCGACTGCGGGAAGTCGTCCAGGTAGAAGTGGCTGGACGTGTAGATGGTGGCCTTGCGGTTCGGCAGCGGGAAATCCAGCGGCTCCCCTTCCTTGATGTAGTGCAGCACCTCCGCGTAATCGGGGCGCTTGCGGAAGCCCATGCAGCGTTGCTCTTCCATTTGCCTAGTACGCGCCGCCCATCACGCCCGATCCCTCGACGCTCCTGCCTCTCGTCCTTTGGGGCTCCCTGCGCTGCTCCGCCCCTTGGGGCACGAAGCCCGGCACCACGCCGGACTCCTGTGTGTTCCTGATAAGCTGGTCGCCCGCCCTGAGGACCTGCCTGCGTTCCGCCCCGGCCCAGCGCAGCTGTGGCACTCTGCGGTTCACCGTCTCCGTCAGCCTCCCCATGGCGTCCGCGTACTCCTCGCCATCTTGCTTCAGCTGTCGGTTCTGCAGCCACTCGTTGAAGGCCCTCGCGTCCATCAGCTCCTCGTAGCGCTTCCGCATGAGGGCGTTCAGGTTGTACGAGGGGTACCTCTTCCAGAACTGGCGCAGCATCAGCGCCTCGTTGCGGGGCTCGATTGTCATCATCGTGTCCGTTTCTCCTTTGTTACAGCTCCATCGTGTTTCGCGTCAGCAGCTCCTCGAAGCGGTCCACCCGCGAGAGCTGCCTCATCACCCGCGTTTGGGCCGGCGTGGGCTCCGGCTCCGGCTCGGGGACCGTTTCGGGCTCTGGCGCTACTTGAGGGGCGGCAGGAACAGCAGCAGGCGCCTCGGAGACGTCGACGGTGGGAGGCGGCTTGGGCTTGTTCTTGCTGCCGGGCGGCCTTCCTCTCCGCTTGGCCGCTGCTTTGGGCGCCGCTTCCGGCTCAGCAGCCTTCGCCACGGGTTCTCCTGCTGTTGCTGCTGGGGGCTCGGGCTCGGCCACAGGCGCCGCTGGAGCTGGAGGTACAGCCTCTGCAGCAGGCTTTTGCTCTTCCTCCTCGGGCATGATGATTTCTTTTCACACTCCATTTAATCACCCGCGTTGGTCCGACCAAGTCGCCCGTCCAGGTCACCCGTCCAGGTCACCCGTCCAGATAGATGCAGAAGCTGATGCTGGTCCCCCGCAGGTTGACCACGTTGCCGTCCAGGTCCGTCAGCTTGAAGCGCAGGTACCGCAGCGTGATGGGCCCTCGTAGGTTCACGAGGTGGTTGTCGTCCGTGCTGGACTGCATGATGAACCCCACGCCCTGGCTGCAGATGATCTTCGCGATGATGTCGTGCCCCAGCGGCCCCACGCTGTCGGCCGCGTTGGCCAGGCTGCTGCATCTCAGATAAAGCTCGTTGTAGGGCGCCATGACAACGAAGCTGAAGATCTGGTTGCTGCCCTCGATGAAGCTGGGCCCCAGCAGGTGATTGATGCTCATGGGCCGGCTCGGGGTCGCTCCCGGCGGGTAGCTGCCTGTGCCGGGGAAGAGGGTGCGCAATTCCTGGTCGTTCAGGATGGTCCTGTTGCCGTCCCACGCCACCGCGATCTCGTTGGTGGCCTCCCCGTAGACGGCCGTGGCGAAGTTGCTGCTGATCCAGGCCGCGAGGCGGACGCCCGTGTAGGCTCCCACGGGCAGCTGCGCCCAGTTGAGGGTGTTGAGGGCCGCGTCGCGCCAGTACAGGTACGTCCCGCGGTCCGTGGACAAAAAGGTGTCCGCAACCCTAATCTTGAAGACGCCCAGGCGCGCGGACCCTTGCAGGTGCACCGTCTCCCCGATGTCGAACTCAAAGTCAGCATCCGTGCCCGCCACGCGCTTCCGGCTGTCCACGTATATGGACACCATCTGTCTTTTCCTCCTGCCGAACATGTTGGTGGAAGGACCGGCCGCGGAGCCCGAGGACACCTGCGGCACGAAGCCCGTGGGCTGCTGCATCCAGGGCGGCCGGCTTGGGTCGTACACGCGCGCCGCCGCCGCGGAAGTGCAGCAGTTAACGTTGCGACACTCGCTCTGGCAGAAGGTGCTGCTGCCCAGCAGCTTGCTCGCTATCGTCGAGAGCAGCTGGCCCATCCTCGATTTGAAACCTGCGCTCGAACCTGATGTGGAACATCTCGTCCCGCGGGTTCAGCAGGTAGATGTACAGGAAGCTGAAGGGCTCGCGCACGGCCTCCTCATACATCGCCTGCAGCCTTGGCTTCGGCACCAGCGCCGTGAGCTCCTCCAGCAGGCTGTCCAGCTCCAGCTGGTTCCGCAAGCGCCACACGCACAAAAACTGGGCGTTGACGCGCACGGCGTTGCTGATGAGCCGCAGCTTCTGCGTGCTCACTATCGTGCTGATCTGGAAATGCCGCCCGCGCATGAACAGGGTGTCCAGCGCTCCGTCCCCCGTGCGCTTGTGCAGGTGCGGATTGTCCGCGTGGTCGTCTATCACCACCAAAATTTGGTACAGCTTCTTCATGCCCAGTTGTTTGCTGGTCTGCGTGATCTTTCGCTGCTGGGCGATGATCCTTCGCAGCGCCGCCTCGTCCCACTCCTCGAAGTACACCTGCTCGCGGTCCGTGTTCACCTTCATGTCCTGCTCGATGTACCTCTTCACGGGCCTCCAGCCGTCGTCCACGTTGATGCTCGGACTGAACACGTAGATTCGCTCGAAGCAACCTCTGTACTGCTCCAGAATCAGCGAAATCAAGGCAACGGTCTTGCCAGATTTGCTCGGTCCCAGCAGTATGCCTGACATGGGAAGTTTCGGGACAACAGGGTCCCTGGGCTGCTTGCACGTAAACTCGGGCGTTGGAAAGAGCTTGATCCTGCCCATTCTTTACACATTCAGCCGCTGGCAGCCGCGGCCAGCTCGTCACAGAGTCGAGGCGGGATGCTGTACAGCTGCTCCTGGGTCTGCTTGCCGCGGCGCCCGGCGGTCGTCCCCCGCTGTGCGGCTTCGGGGTGGCGGGTGCCCTCGAAGGCTTCGCAGCGCTAGGTTGTGCCAGATCCTGGTGGCCTTGCGGTATCTGTACCCATATTTGCAGTAGCACACGTCGCTGTAAGGCAGTCCCTGCACGAAGGGCCGGCTCTTGAGCAGCCCCGTGCGTGGGTTCTCCATGGCCCACCAGCGGGGCCTCAGCCTGCCGATGATCTCCAGCGCGCGCAGCACCAGCCGATCTCCTTTCTCCAGATCCCGCGGGCGCTTTCGCAGCGCCTGGGAGTACTCGGTGCACACCGGGCTGGCCCACACCATGTCAAAGTGCCCCAAAGAGGCCTCATCGAGCTCCATCACGTCGCAGCAGATGGTGGGTTCGAACCTGGGTTCCAGGTCGACGGAAACCACTTCCCAGCCCCTGTCCCTGAACGCCCGGCCGATCGAGCCGGTGCCCGAGAAGAGCTCAAGGAGCCTCATGCTCTTTGATGGGATCGCAAACGTACCAGATAAAGCCGACGAGCCCCGCCAGCAGGCAGGCCAGCTCCAGGTTGCACAGGACGCACTCGGCGAACGTCATGGGCGGCGGCGGGTCCAGGCGTTCCTGGTGGGATGAGATCATGTCCTATTTTACCACTCTCGCACAGACAAGAGGTCCGAGCGGGTGGCTCTGGAGCTCCCCATATGGAGGTGCCTGAGTGTGAAGTGCTTGCTGTAAGTGTCGCAGAGCACCACGTGCCCGGCAAGGGTGAGGCCCTGGCATCCTGCATATGTGAGGGCGTGTGGCAGGCGCGTGTACTTGAAGAGGTCGTCGCTCGCGAGCTCCGTCCCATCCTCTAGCTCCACGGCGGCGTCGCGGCACGTTTTCACCGTGACAAAGGTGCCTTTGCAGATCTTGCCGCCTGCCCCCACCAGTCGGATGCCCGGCCAGATCCACATGGACTGTGGCTTATTGGTCAAATTCTTGGCGCTGTCGGTGGGGGAGTATTTGAAGTGCGTGGCTCCGTCAGGGGCTTTGACTTGATTCACCCATTCATTCAATCGAATGCGATGCCGGTGACTTATTGCCAGGGCAGTGTCTGGCACAACGTCGTGCCTCTCCGGGAACTGTGCCCAAGCCCGCTGGAGCGCGCACTTGAGCGACACCTCGCCCGGCTCGTCAATGCGCAGCCAGCGCAAGAAATTGAAGATGCCTTGGTCGCTGCGCCTGTTCTCAACCAGCTCGTGCCGGTAACCCCGTGCCAGCATATTGATCAGCTGCGCTTGCCGGAGCTCACGCAGAACCTCCGTGCCGGCAAAGCTGTCTAGCACTGCAGGCAGTTGGCGAAAGTCGCCCAGCAGCAGGAAGCGGACGCGGGTGTTCAGGGCCAAGCAGGCGATGTCGTTCCAGAGCGCGGTGTCCAGCTGCGTGATTTCTTCGACCACCAGCCAATCAATGAGGCGAATGTTCCCATGGCGCACGAACCTTCGGAGCCAGTGGTCGGCCGTACGGGCCCCCTGGCCGATGTTCTGCACGGCGCAGTGCGTCTTGGCCACAATGTGCACCGCTTGGCCTTGTTCCCGTAAGGCTGCTACAATGTGCCTAGCCAGGTGGGTTTTGCCAGTGCCTGGCAACCCGGTAAGGAGCAGGGAGCCGCCTGCCAAACAGTGCGTCAAGGGATCGGGGATGTCCGTCCATTCAAGCTCGGGAGGCATGGTGTGCTCTGGAAGCTGTGGCTCTCTGTAGTGTCCTCGCAGCGGCTTGACCTCCTCGACTCGGTAGACTTGACTGCCGTCGGGATGTTTGAGGTCCTGGAGCTCTTGCAGCAGATGCAGGTGTTTCTTTGGCAGCTGCTGGACCACCACGCAATCAGTCTTGACGCATTTGATGTAGGAGGGCAGGGCGGCCCGCAGCTGATGCTTGATCCTTGCGACGGCCACGTACTCGGCCGCCAGCACAAAGTCGTGCAGCGGCCTGTGGCTGGCGTTGCTCATCAGATTGCGGATAAACACGAAGTCCCAGTATTCTGCAAGCGGCTGCTCGGCCATCTGCCTTTTGGCCGCCTCAAGCTTCTTCTCAACTCTTTGCCTTTCGGCCATCTTCTCCGCTTCAGTCGGCTCGGCTGTGGGGGGTTGGGGTTCGCCTGCCTCGATCTTCTCCGCCTCGATCTTTGCATCGATCTTCTGCTCGGCTGCGGCTATTTGCTTTTCGACCGCCTCAGTCCTCTCCTCGACCGTTTGCAGATCAGATGCAAAGATGCTGAAGACGCGCCGCTCCTGGCACCCATAGCCGTCGAGCTCGTTTTGGCTGGTCCGCACAGTGTACACCGCATCCATGTTGCGAGCCCACAGGCCAATCAACGCATTTATGGAAAGCTTCGCGTAGTGCTCTTCGCCGTCAGGCCATGCCTGCTCCATGGTGTCCAGCGCCTTGCGGAAGCACTCGGCTGTCACGTGTGCAGTCGCGTCTAATGAGTACTTGAAGTCGTCCCACGTAGCCATGCCCGTATCAAGCATGAACGCGGTGATAGGTTTGGCGTACCAGCCTTCGCCCACGTAGGGCAATTGCGAGTACGGCGTCGCGCGGCGGTCTATGCACAGTCTTACGTAGGTCAGGTCGGCTAGGTGCCCCGGTTGCGCGGCTTTAACGTCATCCAGGCAGCAGAAGATGGGCAGCGGGAAGCGGGCGTTCGCCAGGCCGTTCTTGCGGCAGCGCACGACGTCGATGCCGAGGCAAGGCACGCCTTTGCGAGGGGCATGAACCTCAAACACCAATGGAGGCAGCTTTGGGCTCCATAGATAGGCCTCGCAGGCTCGAGGGTTGAAGCGCGATTCCAAGCTCGTGGGCTGGATGGTTTGCAGCAGTGTCTTGTTCCTGTGGCACTCCAGGCACAGTGCTTGCAGAACTTGTTCGTCGTCGCTGAATGCTTGGTGCACTGGCACTATGTGGTCGAGCTCGCAGGTCCCCAGCTGGATCTCAGCCCCGCACAAGTTGCACAGCGAGTTCTGCTGCTCCAGTACTGCTTTCCTCGCTTCTGAGTCCGGCTGCTTGCGCTCCGCCTTAATCAATTGCATGAGCACCTCGTGTGCAAGACTTGCCATGCGCTGCCCGCGGTAAGGTGCGTTCAGTGGCAGCTTCTGAAGCCATTGTTCTAGCACTTCAGCTTCTTCCGGCAGCCCTCGGATGATGCAGGGCTGGCCCTTCTTGATGCGAAGTTTCAGGGCCGAGTACTCCACGCTAGATCTGAGCATGACTCGCGGGCTGTGTCCGGCTGCGAGGAGCTGGGAGCGGATCGTCGTCAGATGGGTCGTCGTCCAAAAGATGCCGCTCTCGGGCTCTTGGCCGGGGTGCCATTCTTTCCACTCGCCTATCGGTGGGAGCTGCTGTGTTTCCCGCCGCTCGTGTCTGTACATCGCCGTTTCGTCCAGGCCGCCGCCCGTGATGACCTTGGCAGACTTGTAGAAGTATGCGTGCCCGTTGAAGGCCACGTAGGCCAGGGCTCGAGCTTCCTTCACGGCAGGCTCGAATTTGTCCAGCACGTGGCCGTCCGGGTCCAAGAGGAAGACTGGAGCATTGTGCCATTCGCAGAACTCCCGTATCTCTGCCGGGCTGATGCCCTGTGTGCGCCAGGCCGTGCCATCGACGATCGCGTCGAAGTCGCTGCAAACCTCTTCCAGCGGCAGCTTCAGCAGGATGGACAGCTGCCTTGGAACGCAGAGGTCGTCCATGTAGGGCTCAAAGGCCTCGTCCAGAATTTCGTGGCTCGCAAAGAGCTGGAAGGAGATGTCGCGGACCCTTGCGAGGCGCTGGTTCAGCAGGGTATCCACCCGGACCTCGTCGTTGATGTACTGCGTGGATTGAGAGGAGATGACCCAGTCTCGAGAATTGTCCAAGTAGTAGACTTCCTCGCTCATCTCCATGATAATTCTGTTGCCTTGGCCATCGTGGAAGGGTGGCCCAGCCAGTCCTTGGGAAAAGACGTCTTGCTTGATGCGGGCCAGGATCTCTTGCTGCGACAAGGAGTCGTTCAGCCGCGTCTGTCGGAGCCCCAGTGTGGTAACTGGCAGCATGTCCGGTCTTTCGTAGGCCAGGCCAGCGTTCCTGCCCCTTCTTCGCGTGCCGCGGATGATCACCGGCACGTGGGCCAGATATTCTGTAAACTTGTCCTGGAAGAATGCCTTCCCCAGCCCGGTCAAGTGAAATTTGCCGTTCGGCTGCAAGGTCCTTACGAGCCGCTTGAGCCCGTTCCGCAGGAGCACGTAGTCGTTGGGGCCTTCTCGGATCAGCGGCTGGTCGAGGTCCAGCCACTTGGTGGGCGGGCGTGAGCCGGTTTCCCGGTAGTAGAAGCTCCCGAGCGGCGTCGTTGTGCCGTCCGGTTGAGCGAGGTAGACGAAACCCGCGCCATTTGCGCCGCGTGCAACAGGGAGCACGGTGGCTCCAGCCACGGTGGTGCGCGGGCGGGCGCCCGCGGCGATGGCTGCGCGCACTTGCGCTTGCTGGCGTGCAAGGGATGCCATGTTTTCCGTGCGTGTGGGTTTTGCTTCAAGCGGCGGCAAAAAAATGGGCGGACCAAGCAGGGGGGGCTGGTCCGTCGAGCTTCGGTTGGTGTCTCGGGGCCTTCTTGTTGCTTTTTTTTAGGTTTAGGCGGCCGTAAAAGGGCATGAGAGGTCGTCCTCAGCCTTCGGCCCCAGCATGACGTCGGAAATTTCCAAGGACAGGCCCACCTGGGCGGGTGCCACCCAGACTAGCCGGACCCGGACTACCACGCGCACGATCCTGTTTTCGAGCTCTTCGGGCGTGGCCTTGGTCGGCTGGAAATCTTCGAAAAAGCGCGCTTTTCCGAAGTCAATTTTGGCCTTCAGGTACTCGATGCCGCGTTGCGTCTGCTTTAGACATGAGCACCATCTGTCTCGTAGCTCGTAGCTAGTCAGGTATTTGCCGTTGGGCAGGGGTTGGCTCGGAATTTGCTTTTGCACTTCAGCTTCCAAGTTTTCGAAATGCTGTTTGGTTTCGGGGTCGATTTCCAAAGAGATGGTGGCGCGCTTTGGGTCGCGGGCTTCTGGGTGGGGGGTGGGCTTCCACAACACACGCAGGTAGTTTTCAGACATCCAGGTGAGGGGGCCTGTGAGAGTTTTGACGGGCAGGATGGTGCTGCCGTTCGCAAGGCGCGCCGCTTTGTCCACGACAATGTTGGCTAGAGTTTGCATTTTTGGTGGCGGTTTTATAGTAGGGGGCGGGCATTTTCCATGGTCCGAGCACAAGCGCAGGGGAACTGGGCTGGAAGGGCCTTGTGGCACCACAGGGCCTAAAGGGTTTAGGGCTGGCCAATCAAAGCACGTCCGTCAGAGCGATTGGGGATGCTTGGCGCGGATGCTTTTGCAGCGTTGCAATTTTTTCGCATGAAATATTTGGCATGTTGACGTGACTGTGGAAACCCTTTTTACGGACTGTCATGAGTTCCGGCACGTTTTTTGCGTCGTGCAAGGATTTTGTTTATGATATTTTCAGGAACAGCAGCGGAGCGTGAGAATTTTGAGGACTGAAGCGGCCCACATGTGACCGTGACTTGCGAAGTTCGGAGGCGAGGACCCCAGCGTGAACTCGTAAAATCTTTGAGCCCTTCAATTCTCGATAGTTGTTTGGCCAGTGCGAAATTTGCTTCAAGGGTGCTCAGTTCTTAGCGTCGTTCTTAGCTTCTTACTTCCCTCGCTCCATGGCCGCGTCAATTTGGGTGAAAGTCAAAGGTGGCAAGACAACCCTCAAGTTGCCCACGACAGGTCTACAGGACGTCAGTGACCTCATCGAGATGGTCAAGGAGAAGGCGAAATCCCTGCTTAACAATGTGGATCTTGTCCAACTCCAGCTCTACCAGTCGGAGACGACAGCCGAGGAGAGGAGTCGTTGCAATTGTTTTGTTGTTTCCAAGTTCCGTGTAAAGGGAATGTGCGCGACATGGTAGACTATGAGTGAGTTGTAGGTGCCCGGTGATGTTGGGCATGTTCCACTTGCCGCACATGGCTTCCTGTAATTGGGTTCTCAGTGGGTAGGTTGTGAGGGCGAACTGTTCTTGTTGTAGGTTGAGGTTCTTGTCTCCAGAAGTTTGGTTTGGGTTGGTGCTCCTTTGTTCGGCATCGTTCCTTCTGCGAGGCATTGAAGCCGGGGAAGCCGGTTGCAGACATCGATGGCGGCAGGGACGAAGACCACCCGCTCTATTTGGGCTACCCGGACGTCCCGGTGACGACTTGGCTGAAAGACTGCTCCGGCGACATGGCGGTATTATGCCGGTGCCTCGTGCTGTTCTTGTCGGTTGCGGTGTATGTCGTGATCACAGTCGATTGCTACGATGATGGTGATGTGCCGGCATTCAGGGCACTGCTGGCAACATTTGTCCTCACAGGAGCGGATTTGCTCCCGAAGATTTGTCATGAGGAGCACGAAGACATCATCGAGTGGGGCTTTGCTTTCTTTCTCCTCGCGTTCGGCTTGCTAGCTCTACATCAGCGGTTCTTCTCCGAAGATGTCTGTATGGGGATCATCACCGGGGCAGCCGCCAACTTGTACAAAAAATTCGCGCTCCTTCTGATTTGCACCGGTGAGTTTCGGCAAGCTAGTTCGCGCTCTTTGGAGCGGTTCTTCCCCACCCTGATGCGGCCCGCAACGTCAAACGCAGCGAGTGCACCGCTTTTGCCAGGTGCATCTCACACCGGTTGAGCGATAGATCGTGCGCGATGGGAAGGTGGAGTGAAAAGAGTGGTGGGTTTCGCATCGTTCGTTGTTTGCAGTTACAAGCGACAGGTGTTGCAGACTTGGGATGCTTTTTGGCATGGCACGCGTGTTTTTGCTGGAGCTTTGTTGGCTTGTTTTTCATGTTGTGCCTAGGATATGAGCCTGTTGTAACAACGACGGGTAGCAGATAACCACATTTTGATTCCGAAGAGGGGGTCAGAGCAACAGCTACCACATCTGAGGAGGGCAGCAAACACGCAATCCTGACACGGGGTAGTGCAAGCCAGCGGCCCGCAGTGACTTGAGGTGCGTGGTTGGCGGTTTAGGGTCTTCAGGAGGGGTTGGGATGTTTAGGATGCAGCCCCGAACGTCTGATCTCCCAACTTGCTGTGCGAACGCCCAGACTTCCCTGTGTCATGTAGACCCCTCCCCCGTCGTCTTGCCCAGGTCTCCGCCTCATCATCGCCATCTTCCGGTTTGTTCGTGAGCTTCTTAGGCTTTTGGCAAGCGCTGTGTGTGCCCAACCCTTACTTTGCTTAGGTCCAAAAGCCGTCGTATTCATCATTTGCTCGGGGTCGGGTCCTCTGAGCAGTCTTTGCAGATCGTGAGGGTCTACTTTTTGTGAGCCAGACTTCCTGAGCTTTGAGTGATTCGACGCATGCTGCAGTGACCCGTGCCGTTCTGGAGAGCTTCCTGCTTTACGTGTGCCCTTTGAAGTGCTTCAGGAACCACATTCGTCCTGGCCACTTTCTGATTGCAGAGCGGGGGCCTGTGAGTGTTTGCAGCAGTCTCCGCTTGCGGGATCGAGGGGTTGATGTCAGATGTTGGGGTTCTGTTGTCGTTGAGGGTCCTGTGTGGGGGTTACTGGTCTGTTAGTTCTCTGCACGTGCCGCTTTTAGGAAGGCAGTGAAGGGCCTCTAAGGGTCCCTGGCGAAGGGCCTCTAAGGGGGTCCCTGGCGAGTGAAGGGCCTTTAAGGGGGGTCCCTGGTGAGTTGAGTGCTTGCCCGACTTCTGTGCTTGTTAGGGGGGTAGGGTCCCGCACTGCTGCCGCGGCCGTTGAACTGTTTCGGGTAAAGGTGTGAAGTCCCTGCGCCCGGAGGCCCGTGAAACGTGTGAAGTCCCTGCGCCCGGAGGCCCGTGAAACGTGTGAAGTCCCTGCGCCCGGAGGCCCGTGAAACGTGTGAAGTCCCTGCGCCCGGAGGCCCGTGAAACGTGTGAAGTCCCTGCGCCCGGAGGCCCGTGAAACGTGTGAAGTCCCTGCGCCCGGAGGCCCGTGAAACGTGTGAAGTCCCTGCGCCCGGAGGCCCGTGAAACGTGTGAAGTCCCCCCATCTCGAGGCGATAATCGGGGGGGCTGGGGTCTCCAGTGCATGCCCAGACCCCCCCCCTCACCGCCCTCACCGCCCACGCCACCCACGCCCCTTACCTCTAGCCCCTAGCCCCTAGCCCCTTACCCCCTAGCCCCTAGCCCCTAGCCCCTATAGCCCCTAGCCCCTAGCCCCTACCGCCCCCCACGGCCCTCAGATTTCACAGGTTTCCCGCCCCCCCGCGGCCCTCAGTTTTCACAGGTTTCCCGCCCCCCCGCGGCCCTCAAATTTCACAAGTTTCCCGCCCTCCGCGGCCCTCAGATTTCACAAGTTTCCCGCCCCCCGCGGCCCTCAGATTTCACAGGTTTCCCGCCCCCCCGCGGCCCTCAGATTTCACAGGTTTCCCGCCCCCCCGCGGCCCTCAGATTTCACAAGTTTCCCGGGATTTTTTGCACGACAGCTTGCGTGTCTGACCTGGCGCGACTTGCCCTCTAAGCTCTATAAGCCTCTCGGCCCGATAGACCCTAACCCTTACCGTACCATACACTCCCCTCAACCAACAACACTTTGCCTACACTCGAACCCCCTAACCCCAGTGACGGATTGGGGGGTCACTGCAGGCACATCTTCCTTTGGAGTCGGAGGCGAGGAAGCCATTCACACAACGTGTTCTGACGTGTTGAGTTTTTGTTGTGTGGTCCATGCTGCAACAACATAGCTTGGCGAGCTCTTTTGGCTTGGTGAGCTGTCTTGTCAGATCGAGTTAGTTGGATTGCAGACATGGAAGAAGTGATTGTGGAGAGCGTGCGGTCCGGACTGCTTCACATCGCTAAGGGCCAGCGTTTGATGTGCAACGGCTCTGAAGTGGATGAGTCTTCGTTCAAGAAGGTTCAGGGCCCACCGCCAGATGCCACGAAATGTCAAACCTGCTTCAAGGATACAGCCATTGGCTTTTTGCCCCCAAACCCTGAAACAGAAGCCCCAAGTCTCGCGACTAGTCCGCGGACAAGCCCGCAGACAAGTCCGCGAGCAGAGGACCAGGCCCCCAGGCATGACCTAGCACTGTGCCAGCAAGAGGAGGTCAGCAACGACGATTTCCAGGTCCTGGCATCGGGCCAGCAAGTGGATGTTTCAGTGGCGACAAGTTGCCCTGTGTACGAGCTCCACTGGGAAACCGTGAATTGGCAGAACATTGTGAAGTTCCTGTCTTTGGACGCAGTCCGCACTGTCCCCAAACTTTTCGACGCTTTGGCATCCATTGCTGACCGGACAGTTGCTTTGAATGGCCTTCACCGCGGCAAGATCCCCGTGGCAGGATTTGTTGGCTCTGCTCCTCCAGGTCTGCGTGGCGTGCCTCTTTCTGGCGTTGTAGAACTCCCCTCCGACAGGGACTTTGCAGCACCTTGCTCTGGCGACAGTCAAGTCGCAAAGAAACTCAAGAATGCTCCGAATCTTGCTAAGGTATGGGGCAAGCTTCCCAAGCAAGTCGAAGCTGAGCTCGTGTACGTGCAGAAGCATTTGGCTGGAACGAGCTTGGCCGAGCATTCCGATTTGAGGCTGACCTCGGCATTTGTGTTTTCGAACTTGAAGCTGGTGCTCTGGGCTTTCTCAGGCATGGCTTGGAGCACAAAAAATTGGGACCAGTGCCGCCCACCCTGCTGGAGCTCACAGATCATTACCATGACAGTGTGGAACACGTCGAGCACAAGTTGGCTTTGAAACCTGGCGATGGCTACAAACTCTTGGAAGGGGTGCTGCGTGGGGCCTGCCCGTCCAGGTGGCTGCATGCAACCCTTGGGCAGATGCCACCCGTGAGCGAAACCCTGCAGTACATGCACAAGTTTCACAAAGAGATCTGTGGCTTGCGCGAGGTCGTCTACCAGCACTTTGCCGAGACCGACGAGAAGGTAACTTGCTGGCTGGACGTGAACTGCTCAGACAGTAAGGGCGCTGCTCTGGAGTTTTTTCGCTTGCAGTACCAAGTGTCCTGCATGGACTGGGTCGCATCAGGTCTCAGCAAATCCGCTCAGATTGAGTACGTTCGTGACACCGGGGTTGCCGTCAGGGGGTGTGCCAGTCCCGACAGTGTGTGCCAGGACCTCAACCAGAAGCTCAAGGCAAAGGGCTTCGGCTTCAGGCTGGAGACGCGCATCCAGCAGGCGCCTTTGGAGATGGCTTCCCGGATGTACCCCGGGCTGTGTTGGCAAAGTGATGCTGCTATGCCATGGACAGAGTTCGCGAGGCTCAGAAAAGCATGCCGCGAGCACATTGCACTGGGCCGCGCCAGGCAGAACACGCGAGACTTCTGTGAACTCGCAGCCTCTGTACTGTCGCTTCGCATCAACATCCCCACGGCAGCAGATGCCAACAAACAGTTGATCGAGCAGTGGTTGCCCGGGCCTGGCGTGTGGCGCCTGCATGACAAGGGCGACATTCTCGAGCCCATTTTTGAGGTCATTAAAGGATTGGCACTCCCCAACCAGGACCACACGGGGCCCTGCCATGCAGCTTGCTAGGCCCTGCTAGACGTTAGTCCACTGAAAGCACGGTTTGCATTTTCCCTGCAGGAGCCCATGTTTCCACTCAAGAGCGTTGAGTTTGCCAAGAGCTTGGTGGTGCCGGTGGTTGCCCTGCTGGCTGCAAGGCCTCCGATGGCTCCTCTTGATGGCGAACACTCGCGTGGGAAGATGGTTTTCCATGATGGCGTCATCTTTGACTTTGTAAGTGGCGAAGCTCGCAAGGTCACCGCTGCAGACCGGCAGATGTTCCGTGTGAAGTTCCCCTTTGAGCCCTGGCAGCCCAGCAATGACCTGGGAGTGTTCTCGAAGATAGAGACTTGGATTAAGGAGAACTGCAATCAGAAGAGTGCTTGCTTCGAGAACACGGAGTTAGGGCGAACCATCATCGAGGACTTGACCGCGCTTGCAAGGGAGTGTGAGGTTCTTGCAGTGTTGCGAGGCATATGGGATTGGGAGACCGTTCTACATTTCGGGAGGTCGTTGACCGCAACGGCGCTGGCTACGTGCGAAAAGAACGTCATTCCTTACTTCTTCGGGCCCCCCCTCTCATCTAAGGATGTTGTTGCCATGCTGGCCTACACTTTTTTGAGTGGAGATCAGGACGGGTACGCGGTCTGCCTCAACGGGTCCTACGCAACCGGCCGAACTGATGGATCTGGTGATGCTGCTACTCCGCAAGTTGCAGCATGCCAAAAGAAACGCTTGGTCTTGTTCAGCGAAGTCCCGGACCGTGGCTTGCGGGGGCACATGCTGAAGATGCTGTGTGAGCATTGCGGAGTACCAGCCACAAGCCGGCAGCTGTGTCAACAGCTGGAAAGTTGGATCTCGCTGGCGTCGCCATGGCTGACATCCAATTTCACGCCCAGCAATCACTTCTTGGATGAAGGCTTGCAGAGGCGCCTGGACATCTTCGAGATGTCTACAACGCACAGTGCTCTTCCAGAAGGCTTTCAAGGTCTTGCGGACGACGCTTTGAAGCCGCGGGTCTGCCGGGGCTTTTTCAACCAGCAGCTGCTGTGGCTCGTCAAAGGCTTGGCCGGTTCGGTGCAAACTGCTTGCAGTCCAGGCACGCGATTGCTCCCTCGCCCTCCCTGCATGGTGGAGCGGGACAGCGCCATGCAGTTACTCAAGCATGATGGCCGCACCTTGCAGCGCTTTGTGGAAGAGGAGTGCGATCATGACGTTCATCGGAGTGTGGCATCCGGTCTTTGGGAGTTCAGAATGGCCGCTGCGAAGTACTTGGGTGGTGGCACGACTCCCGACCAGGTTATGAAGATGTGTGCCACGGCTGGTTTGAAGGAAGAGAGTCGTGGTGCACTTTCTCAGGGTCAGAAAGGGCGCGTCTACATCATGAAGTCCAAGACGGGTGGCTCGGGTGCTTTGCGCGTGAGAGTGAAAGAGAATGATTTGGCACAGGCTTCCGCGGCGTTGGCGAAGCAGTACAATCCGTTTTTCCGAGTGACTCCGCTTCTGAGTTTGTGCCTGTGCCTCAGAAACCATCGGCGTGATGTTGTAACTCTGACATTCGAATACGAGTTTAGCACAAAGATAGCACAGACTTCTGAGGCTACAGGTTTGTTCGGTAGATGCCGCTATCACGGCATGTGCCCAGGCCTTGAGGTTACAGATCTTGGCTGCGTCCGACGACCTAGTTCTTTTTCTGGGGGGCTATGCCGGTACTTGCCAGTTGCGAAGAATGCCACATAGCGCCATTTGTTGTGAACTAGCTTGCGTCAGCAGCCGCAGATGCCTAGCACAGCCACGTAAACTCCAATTCTGTTGGATGGTAGGGGGGCATCGTTGCACAAAGAATGCGCAGCGATGGACAGGCTGCATGCTTGGGGTTCTCTTCTGCATTCCTCTGCCTAGCACAGCCACCGTAAACGCCTTCACATCACAAAGTGTTGGGAGGTGGGGGGGCAAATTGATTGCACGTTTTTGCCCAGCACAGCCACTGTAAACGCCTTCACATCACAAAGTGTTGGGAGGTGGGGGGGCAAATGCACCCATGCTGTAGTTCTGAGCCTTGGCTCCTGTACAAAGTTGAGGCAAACAGTTGGCGTTTGAAATGTGCAGGCCACTCTTTGCTTTTCCAGCCGTGCCTTTCACGGAGATACAGATACAGCTCTGGCTTTGAGTGCCACATACAGGGCACGATCTCAGCCGAAATGCTTCGTGCACATCGTAGCTATGTCGCATTCCCGATGGGTGTTAAATGACGGTAAACGCTACGCAAGCTTTGTGTGTCACAAAAAGGGTGTGCTTGCAGCATGAATCAAAACGTATCATCCGGACAGGGGGCGAACCTGGCTGAACGCTCTGCACGGTACACCCGCAAGAATGCAGCAAGGCTCGATTGAATCCATTTTTTTTTGTTGACGCGCCAGGTCGCACAGCAGCATCACAAGCAGTTCGTGACTGTCATCTCGAAGGACCCGTTTGAGTGTGAGGGCTCAGCATAATCTAAAGTTTAAGGTTTTGAGCCTCTCAACTTTTGCTTCGAGCTTCAAAATCTAAGTTTAAGATTTTTGACCCTCTCAACTTTTGCTTCGGGCTTCAAAATCTAAGTTTAAGTTTTTTTGACCCTCTCAACTTTTGCTTCGAGCTTCAAAATCTAAGTTTAAGATTTTTTGACCCTCTCAACTTTTGCTTCGAGCTTCAAAATCTAAGTTTAAGATTTTTTGACCCTCTCAACTTTTGCTTCGAGCTTCAAAATCTAAGTTTAAGATTTTTTGACCCTCTCAACTTTTGCTGCGAGCTCCCAGGGGCCAGTTTAAGGGATTAGAGCCTCTCAACTGCTTGCTTCGAGCTCCCAGGGGCCAGTTTAAGGTTTTGGAGCCTCTCAACTGCTTGCTTCGAGCTCCCAGAGGCCAGTTTAAGGGGGTTAGAGCCTCTCAACTGCTTGCTTCGAGCTCCCAGAGGCCAGTTTAAGGGGTTTAGAGCCTCTCAACTGCTTGCTTCGAGCTCCCAGAGGCCAGTTTAAGACGGTTAGAGCCTCTCAACTGCTTGCTTCGAGCTCCCATGGGCCAGTTTAAGGGGTTTAGAGCCTCTCAGCTGCTTGCTTCGAGCTCCCAGTGGTCCCTTCTGATGCTTTGCTGTTTTTGATGCTCAGTCGATTTCCGACGCCTTCCGTAGCACGCTTGGCCAACGCCGCAGAAATGCATCCACAGCCGTTTTCCCTGATTTCTAGAAAACTGCATTTCTGCAGGGGCGCTCGCGCCCAGAATGCGCCCAGAATGCGCCCAGAGCCTGTCACGGCCGATTTTAAGCCAAGTGACCAGATTGCCGCCAGAGCGCCCACAGAGCTTCAGAAAGAGGGGTCGTTTGTGAGACCGGCTGGGGGCGCGCAAAAGTGCAATTAAAAAACCTTTAGCAAGAGAGAGAGAGAGAGGTTGCCTTTCTTTTTCCATCAATCGATTTCGCTCGCTGGCACCTGCGTTGCTACAAACAAACCGCCATTCGGAATTCAAGGTATGCTTGCGTTCGAGGGCTCTACCGGTATGTGCGTCTGGGCTCGCATTGGCTCAAAAGGGAAGTGGTTTGATTTTTTGTTGCTGGCATGCCATGACTCTTTCTTGTTGTTTTGTTTCCGTTTCTGTGATTGGTGTTGCCTCCGGTGCTTTTTTGTGGAAGATTGTGGCTGATCAGTGATGTTTTTGTCATGTTTTGGATCAGCTTGTATAGGTTTGTTTTGCTTCGGAGTGATTGGGAATCCGTGTGATCCCATCCTCGATGGTTTATGCCTCGTTGATTTCCAAGGAAATCATACGAGTGTTTTTGCCCAATACGCGATTTAAAGTGAGTGTGCAGTGTGTAGGAACTTCGTTCTGAAGCTGAGTTTAAGCTCACAAGAGAGAATTCGTTTAGTTTGTGCACTTCGTGACTTTTGGCTCAAGTGGCTCTGACTGTGAAAAAGAGAGAGCTGTCCGCACTTGTGTGAGAGGTCAGGGTTCGTGCTTTCAAGGGAAAAGGTACCAGAGGGACCTTCGGTTTTTCACGTGGTAGCGGAGCTTGTGCCTTGTGGTACGAGCCCGTGTATGGTCTTTGGTTGTCTGTCAGGACTCTGTGAGTGCCTGGAGGCAAGTTTGGGTTTGGAGCCCAGACTGCCAGTGGACCGGAATCTCTTGTACTCGGACCGTGTAAGTGAGTACCGGGAAGCCTACCCTGTGAGGAGGCGGATCCGGACTCATCAGGCTTGGAAGCAGTTGGTTCAGCGGCTGTTGAGGCACTTTGGAGCCCGGGCAAGGTGGTTTGTCTGGAACTGGATTGGTTGTGACCGATCTTGGAGGAATACGGTGCTTGGTAGAGTAGAACTAAGGTTCTTCAGGAGCCTGGACCATCTGGTGTTGGTGAGAGAATTTTCGCCAGAAGACGTTGTGGAGAGACTGCAGGCTGGAGCCTGAGTTCAGGAACTATGTTGAATACATCCCCACGACATACCAGTGGAGCTCATGTGAGGAGTCCAAGAGGTGGACGAGAGCGTGGAAGCTCTGTGCCCATCATGGATGCTGAGACAAGGCGAAGGGTAGACCCTTTTCCGGGTTTGGGAAATCCCAACCCACTGTGGGTGCAAGGTTTGGCACAAGGAAGCCAACCTGTGTATGGCCCAGTGCCCAGAGGTCGAACTCCCGCCAGAAGCCCTCATGGGGTAGCTACTGGAGCACCCCAACAGACAATGGGAGGCCCTTCGTTTCCCCCTGGTTTGCCTCAGCAAGCGGTAGGAAGTCCTTCGTTACCACCAGGACTATCCACTGGACCTCCTCAACCTGTGGTGACACCATCACAAACATCACCCGACGTGCAAGGGTTGACGAGACAAGTGCGAGAATTGGAAAGCATGATGCAGCAACTGGTTGTGCAGCAACAGCAGTTTATGCAAACGATGACTTCGTCCATGGTGCAGCAACAGCAGCAGCATCAGCAGTGGATGATACAGCAGCATCAGCAACAGCAGCCACAGCAACAGCAACAGGTGAATCCCCCCTTACCTCAGGATGGTGTTCCTGAGAACATGCCCAGTTCTTCTTCGGGATGTCAAGGTGCATCGCCAGTGGGTACTCCTGCGAAGGGGACCCAGCTTTTTCGGATGGCGAGCCCAAGTCCCCCACTGAGACCTCCACCTCTGGAGCAAGAAAGGGAAAGGGATGTGTTTGCTCGATCGGACAAATGGTTGCCCAGTTTGCCGACCATTGACTTTTCGTCTTGGAAGGATCGCATCTCTGAAGCTCTTGGATTCTTGACCTGGATGGAGAAGCTGACCAGTTGGGTTGGTTTGGGTTCAGAAGTGTTTCCCAATGAGCTCATGCATGCGGTGAAGACTCAAGAAGAGTCTCGGCTGAAACAGGATCGACTTACTGTGGAGCAACAGAAGAGGTCGACGAGGCTGATGCACATCCTGCGACAGACTTTTGCAAATCATGAGAAGAGTTCTCTGATTTTGCAGACATATGTTGAAAGTGAGAGCACTTATCAACAATCTGGTTTTGTGGCTTTGAGATTGCTGGCGAAGGAGTTTTGCCTGAAGTCGCGAGCTGAATGCCTGTTCTTTCGGTCGCAGCTGGTGAATCAAACCGTGAAAGCACCCAGTATTCCGGAGATCATTCGAAAGATTGAGCATGAGTTGAACAAGTACACCAAGCTGCTCAATAGTCTTGATCCCGATGTGCATGCTGGTGGTTTGCAGATCCAAGAAGCGGATTCGGTTATGGTTTTGCTGCGCAGTTTGCCAGATCGGTGTAGAAGCCATTGCTTGTTGCATGGCGATAGTGAATCGTTTGAAGATCTGAAAAGAGTTGCTCTGAAGTTTGAGGTGCAACAAAGGGTGTGGTCAGAAGCCCCTGGCACGAAGCTTCAACCTTTTCGAGATCCCAATGAGGGAAAGGGCAACGAAGGAAAACCAAAAGGCAAAGGAAAGGAACAGAAAGGCAAGCGCGAATCAAGCAAAGGTGCTGGCAAACGAGCTTCAAGCCAGAACAAGAAGGATGTGGAGTGCTATGTGTGTGGTGGAAAGGGACATTATGCCCGCGATTGCTGGTATAAGGAGGGAGATTCAGGCAAGAAGCCCAATTCCCCCAATGCTAAGGCGAAAGCCAAGGCAAAAGGAGATCCCAAGAAGAAGCCCGAAAAGGGAAAGCCCAAAGGAAAAGGCAAAGGAAAGGGGAAGACAGTTGCTGAAGTCTCCCAAGAGGGTGAGTCGAGTGACTACCAGCTAACTGGAGGTGAATGGAATGAACCTGAGTCAGAGGCCCGAGTGGAATCTGTGTTGCAACCTCTGGAAGAATTGCTCGATGAAGTGAGAAAAGAGTGGATTCCCCGGAGTACTGATGAGATAGATTGGTCATGGGAAGTTGAGACGAGAGTCCGGATTGCCGAGTTGGAGCATCGGATCTCTACCGATTTATCTCAGATGTTGCCATCTAAGTCAGTTCGGTCTTTGATGAAGCCTCCGATGAATCAAGTCAAAAGCATGGAAAAGGATGATGCAAGCAAATGGTGGTTGATTGACTCAGGAGCATCGGTGACTGTGATTGCGAAAAGATACTTGGATGAGTTCCAGATCTTGGATCGGAAGGCGTTGGGACCTAATGAGAGGTAAATGTCTTCGAGCGAGTTCGCATCCGAGCCTTGCTGCCTATGTATGAAGGAAAGCAGTATCTTGGTTTGACATCGGTGTGTGTGACTGGAGTTGTAGCAGATGTGGCTCACAACATCTTGAGCACCGAGCAGATGGTGAATACTGGTTGGGAAGTGAAGTTCACTCGAAGAGAGATTTCGCTGCGACACGAGAAGAAAGGAGTCATGGGATATGGAGTATCCTGGGCTGGATGTCCTTGGATCTACCTGCAAGGTGATGCTGGAAAGCGAAAGAAAGTAACCTTTGGAAGAACTGAGGTTCGACCCATGGATGTGGATGATGGCCAACGACCGATGGAGGTTGATCAGATGCAGTCAGTGCAGTCAATGACCAAGAAAAAGCAAGAAGAAATGGAGCTGCATCGGATGCGAGGCCACATTCCTTTTTCGTCCGAATGTCCTCATTGTCGGATGACAAGAGGAACAACCCAGCATCGTCGGACCAAGGATGCTCAAGACCGACCCGTGGCGTTGCAAGCAGATTTCTGCTTCATCAACCTGGTA